GCAAGCCGCGCCGTTCTCAAGCCCACCCGCCTCTGCTCACTCTAGGCCGCGCACGGTGTGTGACGCTGTTTCATTGTGAAAGCAAAACTACTTTGTTTGGCCTTCCAAAAGAGGACACGACTAGAAATCAGTGGTTAAGTTGTATTAAAACACTGTTCCAGAACAGTTTAACCCAAATATTCAGATGTGTGCAGCACATTTTATGGAGGACTGTTTGCTGATCCTGGGAGAGTAGACTACAATGCCGGCTGTTCTGACTCACAGACTGTAAGTGCATTTTTTATATTTAAAGAATTTGCCACTGATGATTCAAACGCGAGTTTTGAGCAGTGTAGAGTAGCGCTTGTTGTTTGTCATTTCTCCGATCACAAATGCAGACATGGTTTTATGTTTACGTGGTGCAATGCACTGGATAGCTGGCCAATCACAGCACACCTCGCTTTTCAGACCGATGAGCTTTGTAAAAATCGACGCGTTTCAGAAAGGCAGGGCATAGAGGAGAAACAATAATATACAGTATGTGGAAAATAATGTTTTTTGAACCTTAAACCACAAACATTACACCAAATACACAAAATAATGTTCTTTTTAGCAACATCATATGACCTCTTTAATAAAAATATAACTGTCTTCTGGTGAAATGACAACCAACTGCAAACTCGCATTCAGATCGGCTTCTATCCAATCATCTGACGGACAGAACCAAGTCCCAATTTTTTAATCTGTTTCACTCGGATGTATGTCAATACAGAAGAAAAGGACTTACAAGATTTTTGGGTTACACTGCAACTATAACAATAAAATAGATCAATATAAGAATAAAGGGAGACATCCAAAATGTGCAGTGCTGGTAAACTCCAGGACTTCATTGAGAACCACTGCTTGAAGGCAGCTTCCTAACGAAGCTGTAATCTCATTAGTGACAGTCTCCATCTGCATTAAAGGGATAGTTCACTCAAAAACTGTTGTGAACGTGCGTACGACAGTCAGCGGAAGCTAGAGATCACGGTTTATAAAGTTTTAAATATGGAAATTTTTCTTAAACAAATGCATCGCTTTGCTTCAGAAGGCCTTTATTAACCCCCTGGAGCCGTGTGGAGCGCTTTTATGATGGATGGATGCACTTTATTGGACTTCAAAATCTCGACACCCATTCACTGCCATTATAAAACTTGGAAGAGCCAGGACTATTTTACTGATAGATATCAATGTTTTTTACCAGTATTATGCCTGTTATGTGATATTCACTTTCACGCTGTTCCAGCTGTATCATCTCAGTGAGCTTTTAGGAGGTTTTACACGTGCGCAGTAAGGTGAATTTAGCGTTTCCTGATGTTTCAGTGTGAATGAGAAACGCTTGAAAATGCTATAGTGTGAACATTTCCAAATGCATCTTGATTAAATGTAAATGTAGCCTGATTTGAAACTCTGCGTGCCGCATAAAAAGTGTGAATATTAGGGATGCAATGGTAGGCGTATCTGTACTGAACATTTTCTGATCGGGTCTTTTGGTTTGGCACACGAGTATCAAACAAATGCAGTATGGTTTTAATTATATGTGCGGAACTTCTGTGTGTGCAAAACTTTTGCGGAGGACAGTAAGCTGTAGTAGTAAGTTGCTGTGGGAGAAGTGCATTTTCCGAGATGTCCTAAACATGAGACATGCTTTATGTTAAGCGTTCAAATTAACTCAGCATGCAGTTTAAAGTGGCTTGCCTTCCGGGTCAGATGCGTGTATTGTTTACTGCATTTGAGTCATGTTTTCTTCAGCACATAACTAAAACACAGTATCTGTGATATTTTACTTTTGTTTGATTGTTCATCTGTAATATTTTAGGTGGTTTTGATGATGTGGGGATGCAGGACGCCTTTTCTTCTGTGCAGAGAGCGACAAAGAACAGAAGCACAAAGAGAAATGAAGAGATGCAGAAGGGATTGCAAATTATGACGACAAAGAGGAAGGACGAATGATCTTAGGTCGTGCTGTCATGCCCAGAGCAGAATATCACTTTTAGCAGCACCAGCTGTTGGGTGTGGGGCAGAGACAGAGAGACAGAGGGGGTTTTAAAGGTCATATCTTACAAGGCAAACACAGAAACAAACAGGGCAATCACTAAATTACTGATGAATAAGTGAAGGGGGTAATTTGGGAGAGGGCCACCCTTGTCACGTCATTCTAACTAAATGTAGTGCTGTAAAAATGAGAGCTTGTGAGACATTGTAGGGCACAGAGAATCACAGCTGTGTGAAATGAATATGCATAACCCTAAAAACATAACAAATGTGCAAAATAAATAATATTGATATCTTTCTACCCAGTAAATAGAAGACATTTGAAATAAATGAATAACTCTTTATCAGCAAGGTATGGAAGCATGTTTCCACCATTTAATAAAAAAAAAAATTTTTTACCTCACAATTCTGCCTTTTTCCCCCCTCAGAATTTCGTGATATAAACTTGAGTCATAAAGTCAGAATTATGAGTTTGTAGCTTGCAATTCTGACTTTTTTTCTCGCAATTGCGAGTTTATATCACACAACTC